AACCAGGCGTCTGTCCACCTTCCTCCGCAGGCTGAGAAGCACCGCGAGGCGGCGCAGGCTGAGAAGCACCGCGAGGCGGCGACACTTCGGACGAGCCTCGCGGAGCAGAGGCTGCGGATGAACGTTGGACATGGGGGTACGGCCAGGGGAACGCCATTGCAATCAAAACTCAGTGGACTGCAGTGAATGAATGTAGTGGCCAATTGAATGCAGAGGACTGCAGTGTCACTAGCAAGTCCTGAACCAAACACAGCTGTGGCGGAAGGAATATGAAGCGTCTGGCTATTCAAAATGTTGCCCGGCAATGGAGTTCTGGGAACTCGAAGACCAGGAAGTGGACTAGAGTTGGCTCTGGGCATCCAAAATGTAGCCCAGGAATGGAGTTCTGGGAACTCGAAGAGCACGAAGTGGCTTACAGTTGGCTCCGGGCATCCAAAATGTGGCCCGGGAATGGAGTTCTGGGAAATGGAAGAACACGAAGTGGCCTACAGTTGGCTCCGGGCATCCAGAATGTGGCCCGGGAATGGCGTTCTGGGATGTCGAAGAGCACGAAGTGGCCTACAGTTGCATCCGGCCCCCCAGAATGTGGCCCGGGAATGGCGTTCTGGGATGTCGAAGAGCACGAAGTGGCCTACAGTTGCATCCGGCCCCCCAGAATGTGGCCTGGGAATGGAGTTCTGGGAAGGCGAAGAGCACGAAGTGTGTGACTGTTGGTGAAAAACGAGCCCGGCTCATGCCGCCCGGAAACGCCCCAACACCTGCCCGGACCCCCCTGTGGAGTGATCTGTGAGCTCTTTTGACACTACTAGAAACCTATCAGTCTTCGCTGTTAGGTAAAAAACTGTCACTTGCAGCATGCGCTGCTTCACGGAAATATGGCGCAGAAGCTGGTTCCAGGTCCCCACGACCGCCCCAAGACGGCCCAAGAGGCACCCAAAACGCACGAAAACTGGCCCGAGAGGGCGTCAAGAGAGCCCAAGAGGCGCCCAAAACGGTCCCAGGGCGACACCAAGACAGCTGTAGAGGCCCCTGCCGCCCCGTCTCAAAGCCTTTCCGTCTGCACAGTCTCCAAGACGGTCTGTGGGCCGTCCGGGACGGCTCCAGAGGCGCCCGGGACGGCCCCGGAAACACCCAAGACAGCCCCAAGAGCGCCCAAGATCGGCCCAAGATGGCCCCAAGACGGCCCTAAGATGGTCCGAGAGGCGCCCAAGTCGGCTCCAAATCGCCCCCAGACGGCCCAAGAGGCACTCAAGACTGCCCAAGAGGGCCCCGAGAGACTCCCAGGAGGGGGCCCCCAAACGGCCCCCAAGAGGCCTTGGATGCTTCTCTCCTGGGGAGCGTCGAACTTCCAGCGTCGTCTTGGGGGCTTCTTGGACCCTCTGGGAGCCATCTCTGCGTCAGTTGGGAACGTCTTGGGGCGGTGCGCTCGGAAGGTCGATTCGTGTCCTCGCACTGGGGCCCGTCTTCGGGAGTTCGTGGGGCCTTCAGAGCCTCTTGGCCCGTCCTGGAGACCTTTTGGGCCGTCTCGCCGCACTTTTGTGGGCCTCCTAGACCGCGCCCACCAGCCCCATTGCCACCACACTACCAGATCAAGTTACCACTCGCTTGCCTGTATCCCTCCTCGGCCACCTCCACCTCCAGCGGCCACCTCCTCCATCCACGCCGTCCCCTCCAACCTCCCCTTACCTGCGAGGCCCCAGAGACGCTCCACTTCCACGTCCACGCCATGGCGGGCAGATTCCGCGGCCGGAAGGCCTCGGGTCAGCCCTAGTCTATACTACAATGCAGGGACCCGCGCGTGCGAGAAGGGCGATTCTGGTCAAAAAAAAGCGTAGCAGGCCCAAGACACGCCAAGAGGGCCCCAAGAGGCCCCCAAGACGGCCCCAGAGGGCCCCAGGACGCCCCAAGATGGGCCCAAGACGCGCCAAGAGGGCCTCCAGAGGCCCCCATGACGGCCCCAGAAGGCTCCGGGACGCCCCAAGATGGGCCCAAGACGCCGAAGCTTGGGCCAAGACGGCCCCAGAGGCGGCCAAAATGCCCGAAGAGGCTTCCCAAGAGGCTTCCCAGCAGGGCCCCGAGCGGGAGAACCGTCGATGTCCATTGTGTTTTCCGATGTTTTTCGCATTCTCCCCTTTTCGCCGTCCCTGCGCTCCAAGACGGCCCAAGAGGTCCCCAAGACCGCTCCAAGACCACCGACGAGGCCCGCAAGAGGGCCTCAAGACGGGCCAAGAGGGCCCCCAGACGGTCCCAAGACGCCCCAAGACAGCCCAAGACGGCCCCCCAAGACGGCCCCAGAGGATCCCGGGACGCCCCAAGATAGGCCCAAGACGCGCCAAGAGGGCCCCCAAGACGGCCCCAGAGGGCTCCGGGACGCCCCAAGATGGGCCCAAGACGCCGAAGATTGGGCCAAGACGGCCCCAGAGGCGGCCAAAATGCCCCAAGAGGCCTCCCAAGAGGCTTCCCAGCAGGGCCCCGAGCGGGAGAAATCGTCGATTCCATTGTGTTTTTCGATGTTTTTCGCATTCTCCCCTTTTCGCCGTCCCTGCGCTCCAAGACGGCCCAAGAGGTCCCCAAGACCGCTCCAAGACCACCGACGAGGCCCGCAAGAGGGCCTCAAGACGGGCCAAGAGGGCCCCCAGACGGTCCCAAGACGCCCCAAGATAGCCCAAGACGGCCCCAGAGGGCCCCGGGACGCCCCAAGATGGGCCCAAGACACGCCAAGAGGGCCCCAAGAGGCCCCCAAGACGGCCCCAGAGGGCTCCGGGACGCCCCAAGATGGGCCCAAGACGCCGATCCCCCGTGTGTCCTTGCAAATCGCTCCAAAACCAACGTACAATTGCATATGCCAACCTCGGCGGAACCCGGACGCTCTGCCGAAACGGTCCTCCCAGCAGGGGGCCTTCAACGACAACTCCAGATACATTGGGTTTCCCACATTTCCCCGGAACGCGCGGGGAAACCTTTCCACAAGCGACAATGCAGAAGACATCGGAGAACACAATGGTTTGCAAAGCCTCTTCTAGTGGATTTCGGTCCATGGGGTCGTCGTCGTCTTCGTCGTCGCCGTCGTCGTCACTGGGCCAGCAGCCGCGCATGCAACCCACCGGAGCCGTCACGACACGAAAACGTCACCATGCCATGTCAAGTGGCCCCCAAAGGGATCTGCAAGCTTTTTTGTCTTAGAAAAATGCTCCGCAGGGCCCTTTGGCGCCCAGAGCGAGCCTACAGTATGCGATAGTGGCCCTCGGAGGCCCTCTTAAAGCCACCTTGGACCATCTTGGCCATTCGCGCCGCTCGGACCCCCGACATCTTGGGCCGCGTTGGCCGTTCTCACCGCTCTGAACGCCATCTTGAGCCATCTTGGCCATTCGCACCGTTCGGGCGCCCCGACGAATCCACGCTCTCCTCCAGGCATCTCGCCATCACCTCGGAGCCTTCGCCTTCCAGGGCCTCGCGGGCTCAAACGGCCCAGCTGTCAGCCGCGCGTGCAACCCACCGGAGCCGTCACGACACGAAAACGTCACCATGCCATGTCAAGTGGCCCCCAAAGGGGTCTGCCGTGTTTGTATATTTTCGGTACAATCTGTACCGTTTTTCCGAGAACCATTCCAGAAAGATGTCGTGGACGGAGTCCACGGGTCAGCCCTAGTCAGCTACAGCGCTGGGATCAGCGCGTGCGAGAAGGGCGAGCAGTGGCAGCGGGCGCTGGCGCTGCTGAGCGAGATGCGGGAGGCGAAGCTGGAGCCCAACGTCATCTCTCCTACATGGCCGGTGGAAGCGCGTCCGAGAAGCCCAGGATCTCAAGAGCACAAGATCGCCCCTTCATGGCGCCACTACGGGGCCGAATCGCTCAGGCTGGTCCCAGAGGCGCTCCAGAAGGGTCCCCAGACCGTCCAAGAGCGCTCCAAGACGCCCACGAGGACCCGAAGCTTTCCGGGAGGGACTCCAAGAGGCTGCAAAGACGCCGCAAGAGGGCCCCGAGCGCACGCCAAAGAGGCACAGATCGTCAAATCCTTATATGAAAAAAATATAGATTCAACATGTCCGCTTTGAGTGCTCCTCAGCGGCCCAGGACACGCCAAGAGGCCTTCCAAGTCGCCCCAAGAAGACGCCAGCGGCCTCCAAGAGGGCTCCAAGACGGCCCACAAGAGCCCCAAGACGACGCCAGAGAGCCTTGAAACGGCCTCACAGAACCCCAAGACGGCCCCAAGAGAGCTCCGAGGGGAGGGAGCCCCAAGAGGCTCCCAAGACGGCCTCAGGCAGCCTCAAGAGAGCTCCAAGACGGTCCAAGGCCTCCTAGACGCCCCGTGACGGCCCAACATGGCCCCAAGACGTCCCAAAACGCTCCCAGAGCAGCCAAAAAAACGTCAGAATGGCCCGAAAAAGACCCCTACAAGGACCACCAAGCAGGCCCAGAGACGCCCATTGAGCGATCCGTGAAGTACAAAGCCCCAGAGGGCCTCTAGACGGCCCCCAGACGGCCTAAGACGGCTCCAGACGGCCCCGAGATGCACCCAAGGCGGCCCAAGAGGGCCCCAAGAGGACCCCAGGAGGCCGCAAGACGGCCCAAAAGGGCCCCAATAGGGCCCCCAGGAGGCCGAAAAGGAACCCCGAGAGGCCCCCAAACAGTTCCCAAGCAGAAGGCAGCGCCCGCTATCAGGCTTCGAAGTCAATCGGAAAAAAGTCACCAGAGCCCTTCGGGTGACTTTTTTCTCGGCCCCAGGTGCTCTCAAAATGGTTCAAACCAGGGGGAGCAGACAAGCGGCGGGAGGCACACCGCAGACCCACCATAGCCGTCTGTGATGCTCCGAAGGCTGTCCAGGCGGACGTGGAGCGGAAGGCGGACGAAGAGGAGGAAGCGCCCGCCTTCCAACTTCGGAATGGCGGCCGGAAACAGTAACCGAAGGCTTCGGGGTGGCTTTTTCCTGGGTGGGGGCCCAACGTGGAGGCCCGCCAGGGGGACCTGCTGGTCGTGGACGAAGTCCACGGGTTCGCCCTAGTCAGCTACAACGCTGGGATCAGCGCTTGCGATAAATGCGACCAATGGCAACAGGCCTTGTCACTGTTCGGCGCTATGCGGGAGCAAAGCGTGGAGCCCGACACCATCAGCTACAGCGCTGGGATCAGTGCATGTGGGAATGGCGAGCAGTGGCAGCGGGCGCTGTCGCTGGCCAGCGAGATGCGGGGGCAGAGGCTGGAGCTCGGCTGGCGCCAGAATCGGGCACTCGGCCTTGGGGCACAGAGTCGGTTGAGCGAGGTGCGGGGAGCGACGCTGGAGGCCGACGCAGCCAGCGGCGGCGGGGGCTGGCAGCGGGCCCTGGCGCTGCTCGACGACGTCTGGCAGGCTAAGCTGGAGCCCAACGTTATCTTCGCTGAGCTTTCAGGTGGAGCACCCGACAAGCGCCCGTGTCACCATGAACGCTACTTCGAGTAGGGGATCGACTACAACATTGATTTACCCCAAACTTGATTGTGAAGGCCTGACGGCCAGTGCCGCCGACCCTGAAAGACATCGACGACGACCAGGAGGGGGAGGAGCAGGAGGAGGAGGAGGAGGAGGAGGAGGAGGAGCAGGAGGAGGAGGAGGAGGAGGAGGAGCAGGAGGAGGAGGAGGAGGGGGGGAAGGGGGAGGGGGAGGAGGTGGAGAGGGAGGAGGGAGGAGGGGGAGGAGGAGGAGGAGGAGGAGGAGGAGGAGGAGGAGGAAAAACTCCCCCCTGGGACCCCCCTCCATTGGGGAGGAGGACCAGAGGAGGACCGGCGTGGGAGAGGAGAGGTGAGGGGGGGAGGACCCCCAGGGACGGATGCGTATCTGACTCCCCTCCCCCCCCCCCTGGGATTCCTCCCCACCTAGAGGAGGACCTGAGGAGGACCCGCGCGTCGGAGAAGGACTGGCGTGGCAGAGGAGGACCACCAGAGGCGATGCGAATCTGACCCCCCCCCCAGTGCCCCACCCCCCCGTGACCCCTCCCAGCCCCCCTCGCCGGGGAAGGGACAAAGGGAAGGGGCTTCCCTTTGACGTGACTACGACGTGCGTCGATTTTCCTCAATCCCCGGACTCCTTCCCCCGACGATGGGAGTGTGCTCTCTCCTTCCCGACGGGGAAGGATGAACAGAAAAGGCGTCCCGTCGGCGGGACCAGACAGATCCCTCACGCACGCCGACAGGGCCGGTGGATTGTCCTTTGACTCCGCGAGAAATGCGTAGGATGGTCCGTCGATCGAAGTAGCATTTTACGTATTGTTTCGCAGATACGACGGAGCAATCAACTTCGGGGTACATCCCTTCTGCAGTCGATCCCCTACTCGACGACAGGCTTCCCCACCGAGGGTAAGGGGGACTGCGCCCGGCGGAGCCACGGCCAAGGAGCATTGGAGGAGGGCCAGTTGAGACAGCGGCGGCCCTCCTGGTGCTGGGCTCGCCGCGCGCATATTTCCGCCGCGCTACTCCACGTGACCAACTTCTCGAGCGGCTGGAGTCGTGGAAGCCGTAGCATATGAAGGACCTGCTGCGCGTCCAGCCGCTCGAGCAATTCATCACGTGGAATAGCGCGGCGGAGGTTTGCGCTCGGCGAGACCAGCACCAGGCGCTGTCCACCAAATTCCGCCCAGAATCGGTCCCCTGCCTGGCCGGCCTCTCGGGGCAGAGCCGGCGGGACCCTGCCATGTGGGACACGAGCCCGCTGGACGACCTGGAGTGGGCACTAGCCCTGCCTTCGTGTGGTTGCTTCCCGGAATCCCGGGGCTGGCGGCTCCCTCGCTCTCTCGGGCTCTCGCTCTTGGAGGCCTCGTTTTGGCTCTAGGCCTCCCAGATGGGGTCGGAGGATCGCGCCGCATCGCCGATGCATCAGGGATGCGGCTCGATGTGGATCCCGATGTTCTCCACGCCGACGGTGCCGACGTCTCCAGTCCATCGCCGATGCATCAGCAATGCGGCGCGATCTTCCGACACCAGCTACTCCGACCCCATCTAGGAGGCCTCCATTAGCCCAAGTGCGGGCTGAGAAGCCCCCCAGGAGCCCCAACACGGACCAGAAGCGTCAGAGAGGAGCTAACAAACCCCTCGCGCCCCCTCCCCCCGCCCCCGTCCAGATCCAGGGGAGGGGGCGGACCCGTCTCTCAAGGGTAAGGGAGGGGTAGAAAACAAAAATCCATAAACCAGCTGCGCCCAGAAAGCTGATGAAACTCCACGGGAACACGCCAGTCAACTACAGCGTTGGAATGAGCGCGTGCGAGAAGGACGGGCAGTGGCAGCGGGCTCTGGCACTGCTAACCGAGATGTGGGAGGCGAACCTGGAACCCGACGTCGTCAGTTACAATGCTGGGATCAGCGCATGCGGTAAATGCAAGCAGTGGCAACAGGCGTTTGCGATGCTGAACGGCATTCGGGAGGCGAAGCTGGAGCCAGACGTCATCAGCTACAACGCTGGAATCAGCGCGTGCAGTAGAGGTATGCAGGTGCAGCGTGCTCTGGCGCTGCTTAGCGAGATCTGGGAGGCGAAGCTGGAGCCCGACGCTATAAGCTACAATGCTGGGATCGGGGCGTGCAATAGTGGAGGGCAGTGGTGGCGGGCCTTGGAGCTGCTGAGGGAGATGCGGGAGGCGACGCTGGAGCCCGACGCCGTCTACCCTGCAATGCCGGGAGCAGCGCGTGGAAGGTGCAAATCGTGGCAAAGCCAGGGGGGGCCCGCCGGGAGGGCCCGCCAGGAGTGCTTGCGCCTCCCAGACGGCCCAAGCGAGTAGAAGGGGCCTCCAAGTTCGCCGACGATGCCTCCAATACGGCCGAGGATGGCCGCAAGATGGCCCAGCCCAAGATGGCGTCCAGATGGCCTCAGAGAGCGCCAAGATAGCCCAAGACAGCCTCCAGACGGCCGAATAGCATTCCAAAAGGCTCCCAAGAGCGCTCCAAGAGCACTCCCAGCAGGGCCTTCCGGTGCACAAATTGAAGGTTATGTGTAAATTTCTCCAACGTTTCCAGCATCCAAAACTTTTGAGCCCTGACAGCGTCCCTGACGGCCCAACAGCCCCCCAGATCGCCCCAAGCCGGCCCAAGAGGCCTCCAAAGAGAATCCTAAGGCGGCCCAGGAGAGACCCAAGACGGCCCAGGAGAGACCCAAAACAGCCCACGAGGCACCAAGACGACCAAGGATGGCCCAGAGATGGCCCACTGGAGCCCCAGGTCCATCGCAAGACGGCCCCAAGAGCTCTCCCAGAGAGCCCGAAGACGTCCCCCAACGGATGCTGCAACGCACCCCCCTGTTGCGGCACCCTTTGGGTGCTTTCTGGGGGCCCTTCGCGGGCCGTCTTCGGGCCGCCAGGCTCCTCGGCTGTCGCCGCCTGTCGGCCCCGCCGCGTTCCCTTGCCACGGCACCTGCGGATTTGCTCCACGGGTGCACACTGGTCAGCTACAACGCTGGCATCAGCGCGTGTGGCGAGAGCGGACAGTGGCAGCAGGCGATGGCGCTATTGAGCGAGATCTGGGAGTCGAAGCTGGAGCCCACCATCATCAGCTATATCTTGGTGTCTCTGCGCGTCCTCTGCAGAGGCCCCAGCCCAGCGGGTTTGTCTCGGCGGCACTTGGGGCCCCAGGCAGCAGATCATTGAACAAGAAGACTGTGTCCAATGCTTGTTTCAACCCGTTGCCAGCAATTTGGTTTTTCAGCGATTTGGTCTTTGTGAGCTTTTCGGCCCCACATGTCTCCAGGAGGCTTCACACTGCCTCGAAGGCCCAGGCGGGCGGCTCATGGGGGTCCAATCCGGAGACGGCCCGGGGAGGCCCCCAGCTTGCCAAAGAGGATTCCCCCAAAACGCTCCGATGCGACCCAGGACGGCCCCACAGAGCCCCAAGATGCTTCGAGTAGGACCTAGGAAAGCCAAAGCATGGCCTCCAGATCCAGCGGCAGCAGCGCCAGCAGCAGCAGTCGGCAGAAGCTCGCTCAATCAAGCAGTTGGGGCAACCAGCGGCAAACAGCAAGCAACACAAGCAAACAGAAATAGCAACAGCAATCCAGCAACGGCAAACAGCAGCTGCAAGCAACAGCATTCATCATAACTTAGCACCAGCTACAATCAATAACCCGCACTAGCGAGCAGCACGCTGGCTGTACATTGCAACTTCGGGGGCAGCAAGTGCGAGAGGGGTCGTCGGTCACAAGGGCCCAGTCCGTTTGCGCCTGATGTCTCGATGGCCCCAGACGGCCTCGAGGGCGGGCGTCAGGAGCATGGGTTGTCCTAGACGACCTCGAGGACGAGTCAAACACGGGCCACGACGGCGACAAGATGGAGCTACGGCTCGAAGAACGCGCTCGGCCGTCAGGGGTCCAGCCTGACCGAGACGGCCTCGAGGACGAGACGAGTCCAAGACGGGCCACGACGCCACAGGGTTGCGCCAAGATGGTGCCAAGGCCCCAAAGTCGCTCCACGCAGCGTCCTCCGCAGGCGCGCACTCGTGGGATGCTATTCGGTCCTCCGCAGTGCTCAACATTCCCCACTCGTTGCTCCCCATGCCTCCCGCATCCTCCCTTCTCGGCTCTCCCTCATCCTCCACTGCTCCTCGCTCTTTGCTCGTCTCTGTTCGGTTCTCTTCGCTCCTCCCTCTTGGTTGCTCGCGCATCCAGGAGGGAGGAGAGAGCAAGCAAGAGGGGCGATGAGAGAAGCAGGAGCGACGGCCGATGAGAGAAGGGCGCGGAGGCGGATGGGGGAGGGAGAGAGGCCCTCCCCCCATCCGCCTCCGCGCCCTTCTCTCATCGGCCGTCGCTCCTACTTTCTCGCTCCTTTGCCCTCGCTGGTCGCTCCTCGCCTATCCCTCCCTGACCCATCGCTCCTTGCTCCTTCCCCTGCCATCGCGTGACAGGTCGTGCAGATTTCGCGGATATGAGTCCGCGGGTTCGCCCTAGTCAGCTACGTCGCTGGGATCACTGCGTGCGAGAAGGGCGAGCAGTGGCAGCCAGCTTTAGCGCTGCTCCGCGAAATGTGGGAGGCGAAGCTGGGGCCCGACGTCATCAGCTGCAGCGCTGCGATCAGCGCGTGCGAAAAGGGCGAGCAGTGGCTGTGTGCCACGTTGCTCCTCGAGGAGATGCGAGAGGCGAAGCTGAAGCCCGACGTCACACGTGCTGCAGTGCCCAGAGCAGCGCGCCCGAAGCCCGCTGGCCGGAGGCGCGGCCAACCGTTGGCCCCCGACCGCTTGCGCCCGGCCACGGGTCTCCAGGCCCACCGAGCGAGCCTCCGTGAGGCGTCCCGCGCCCCAGGCGGGGCAAGACGCCCCTGGATGAAGGGCGGGAGCCCGTCAGCTACACGCAAGATCAGGAGCGGGAGAAGGACGCACACAAACATGAATACACGCTGGTTTCGAAAGCACGCATGCCGCGAACGTTCGTATCATGAGGCTGGTCTTGCGGGCTGGGGGGTTGGGGCGTATTCGGAGTATTCAGATACGTGGTTGGGCGCGTACGTCCTGTATGGGCTCCCCATAAGAGTGACCCTTCGCCAGAATGACCTCTGGTGCGGGCCTACCGGGGCCCCCCCGATCAATGCGCACGATGAGGTAGCGGCGGCCTGCGCGCTTGGATTTGGCCACCTCGCGCTTTTTCGATCCGCGCAAACGCAGGCACCCAAACCCGGGCGGGAGCCCATTTTTCTTCCCCGAGCGCAATGGATTTCTGGCCCTCTGTGCGGCGAAAGTTTTGCAAAGGCAGGGCCCGTCTGTCACGGAATACCTTTTGGAGCTGGTGGATTTGCCAGAGGGTCCGTGAAAGTTGTAAGCTTGATTTGAGGTCCACCGCCAGAGCATATCCATATTCACCGCTGCGGAGTCGTGCCCTGGGATCTCGAGGAGTGGTGGATATGGATATCTGCCCGCCCGCATGGGCGGCCAGATATCCATATCCATCGCTCCTCGGTTCCTTGGGGTACGACCCCGCGGTAGTGGATATGGACATATTCTGGCGGCGCATGAGGGGCGGGAACCGAGGCATCCGACATCATGGAAGACGGAGGTTGTTCACCGTTGTCGGCCTCCGGGAGCCCTCGCCGGGCCCCGGGGCTTTCAAAGAACAGTTCGGCAGAAAGAGCTGGCCCTGGGAAAGGACGGGACTTCTGGAGGGCCCACATTGAAGCCATCGCAGCATCGGCTCTCTGGGAAGCTGACTTCAGCTTGCATCAATACGGAACTCACATGTAAGCGTTTTGTTCTTTCTGGCCAGGGACCTCCCATCAGAGTCCGCACCGCCTGCCTCTGGTCCAGGCGAGAAAAAGGGCAACATCGTGGCAAGTCACGATCGGAGCCCTAGACTCTGTCTTGCTGCGGCATGACTGGAAGCGGGTCGATCCGTCCAGGGCGAAATCGCCCGGTGCGGAAGAGAATGCGACGCCAAGATTTCGGGGGAGGCCCCACAACTCTCGATCCCGTCCTCCCAGGGGCAGCGTTTCGTCCCGGATCCGTTTTCGGTTGTCCTAGGGCACGGCAGTGGGCTCCGGTGGCCGAGGTCAGGGAAAGACACCCAGGCTGAAAAGATCTGATCGGAGGAGATGTGGCACTGGGCACCCGCTTCGGGCCCAAGAACTACGCCTCCCAGATAAGGTCCGAGTAGATGGGGTCGGAGGATCACGCCGCATTGCCGATGCATCGCCGATGCGGCTCGATGTGGAGCCCGACTTTCTCCACGCCGACGGCGCGCGTGCATCGCCGACGTCGCCGATGCATCTAGGATGCATCGAGGATGCACCGACAATGCGGGGCGATCCTCCGACCCCATCTACTCCGACCCCATGTGGGAGGCCTCTGCAAGAGGCGCCAAGAGCAGCACCGCTGAGGGTCTTGGAGGAAAGAAGACGTCAAGTTCGTGTTTGGGTCCTCTTGTAATTGTGCTGGTTCCTTCTGGGCGGTTCCCAAAAGCTTCGAAGAGCGACCCAGACGCCTCAAAGTGAGCCCAAGAAGCCCACAAGAGGCTCCAGGAATGCCCAAGACGCCCCAAATGTTGCCCAGGATGGTCTCAGCTGTGCTTCCAAGATGACCCCAAGACGGCTTCCAGACGGCACAAGATTGCCCCAAGATGGCCCCGCAATCCCCGGGACGACCTGCAGACGACCCGAGCGGCCCACGAGGTGCCCCAAGGGCCCCAACATGGCCCCGAGAGATTTCAAAGGCGAGCCCGAAGAAAACCCAAGAAGCCCCGAGAAAGTCCCCAAGAGGCACAGGCCAAGGCAGACCCCGGATGGTCCGACAGTGCCTCATCCAGCCCAATATCATGCCCCTGGCGACAAGACGTTTCAAGACGGCTTAGGATGCCCCACGAGGTCCCAGACATTTCCCGATACCCCCTCAGCAGTAGCAGCAGAGCCAGCAGCCGAGCTAGCAGCAGAGCCAGCAATAGCCAGGAAGCAGCAATCAGGAAGCAGTAGTATCAGAAAGCAGCGTCAGCCATCAGCAACAGCAGAAGCAAGGAAAAAACGCGTGGTGTGATAGTTTAAAGGGCGAGGAGGCTTTAAACAGCCCTCCCAGACCCCCCCAAATATCCCAGACGTCCTGGCACCGGGGGGCCCCCCCCAAAAAAAAAGCCGGATGATCCACACCCCCTTTCCCTTCCCGCCCCTCGCACACGGTGAGGGGGGCTTAACCGCCCCCCCCTCCCCTCCCGCGCTGGCAACGGGCGGCCACAACACCCGACAACGACGAGCCGGCTCCAGGGAGGGTTGGGATTAACCCCCCTTTTGCGCGAGTGGGTGGGTGGGAGGAGTTGGACCCCCCCCCTTTGCAGAAGGGGGAGATATATTTGGCGCGTTCTGTGTTAAGGGGGGGGTCCAGCTCACCAGGTACTTGTGGTATTGGGGGGGAAGGCCCCTCTGTTTCCGACGTGACGAGGGATGTTCCTCACCCATGCGCCGCTGGAGTGCGCCGTCTCCAATCGATCAACACCAGCAAGCAGCACCACCAGTTCGACGACAGCCCGCACTTCCACAGACAACCCAAGAGGCTCTGAAGCACGTCGTAGGGATCTCAAATGTCGCCAGGAGAATCCTTCACTCAACCGAGCAAGCCCCAAGACAGACAACAAGTTGCCCGTAAAGGGTCTAAGTGTCTTATGAATATTGGTTAGTTGAGCAAGTCGCCTCCAGATGTACCCCACGGGTACAAACTAGTAAGCTACAGTGCTACGATCGCCGCCTGCGACAAGGGCAAACAGTGGCTGCATGCTCTCTCGTTGTTAAAGGAGTTGGGAGAAGCAAAATTGGAATTAGACGCGATCAGCTACAGCGTGGCAATCAATGCATATGAGAGATGCGGGGACTGGCAGCGTGCATTTTCACTGCTCTGGACATTTGTTGAAGCGAAGCTGGAGCCAGACGTCATCAGCGTCGATACTGCGATCAGGTGTTGCAGTTTTGCTAGTTGGCAGCAGAGCTTGACATTGCTCAGGGAGCTCGAGGGAATTAATTTACAACTAGGTGCCCGCAGCCCTATGGCTGCAATAAGCAGGCAGTGGCGGCAGGGTTTGTCAGGTTTGCTGGAGTTGCGAAAGGACAAAATGGAGTCAGACGTCAACAGCTACAGTGCCGTGGCCAGCGCGCGCGCAAAGGCGCGGCAGTGGCAGTTGTCACTATCATTGTTCATGGAGCTGGGGGGGGCGAGGATGGAATTGGACGCCATAGGCTACGGCGCCGCAGTCAGCGCGTCCGAGAGTGGCAGGCATTGGGATTTGGCGTTGCTGCTTGTCTGGCGCTGTCTGCAGAGCAGACTGGTGCCGAGCGAAATCAGCCACAGTGCAGTGGTAAGTGCTTGCACTCGCGCTGGCAAGTGGCAGCAGGCGCTGTCGTCGTTCAGGCCTCTTGCTCCTGTTTGGCCTCTCTCCTTCCTCACTCCATGTCTCTCCCATCTTCCTCTCCTCGTAGTATATACTACCCTTGCCTCCCTCCTCCGCCATATCTCTCCATCCTCCCTCCGCAGTTCCTGATCCCTCCTCTCCTCCTCACTATTATATTCCTCCTCGTGAGGGGGTTGTGGGACGCGGGGCTGCAGCCAGACGTTGACAGCTTCAACGCCGCCATCGACGCGTGCGTGACGGCCGGGCGCTGGCAGCAGGCGTCGCTGCTGCTGAGGGACCTGCGGGAGGCGTCAGGGTAGGCCAATCGCACCCCAGACTAGAACCCTGGAGAATAATCGAGGGCCGTGGTGTTTGGACCTTCTTGTCCCTTGTTGAGCCTCCAGACATCTCAAGAGACCCCAGGAGACCCAGAGGAGGAGGAGGCGGAGGAGGATCCTCGGGGCCCAGTTTGAGACACCCAGTGACCAGCTCTTGGGGAACGCTTTGGGTGGAGCCTTGGCCCCTGCGACGCCTCACTGGGGGTGCGTCGCCCTGGGGCAGACGGTTGGCCCCCCCGAAGGCGGAGCTGCAGCCGGACACCGCCAGTTTCGACTTTGCAATTCGCGTGTGCGAGAAGAGGTTGTGGGGACGTCCTTGCCACCCGCCAGTCCACTCCCCCTTCGCCCTATTCCCCTGCCACTTCTCCGAGGGGGGCAAGGGAGAAGGGGGGCCCCAGACCTCCAACGCATTGGAAAAGCCAAGGCGCCGATGTCTCACCGTTTTCGGCGTCCCAGGGCAGTTTACAAAAATCACGCGACGCCGGATGTTTGGGGAGGGAGGGAGTTGTGGATTGGTGACCGTGGCGAGGGGGTCTCTTGAAGGCTGGCCGATTGGAAATGGTGATAAGAGGCGTTTGTAGCTTCGTTGTGCGTAGGCGTTTGTGCGGCAGCCCGTCGCTCATGGCAGATACAGTCGTCGTCGACACTGATAGTGAGGATGAGCGACTTCACAAGCAAGGTACCCTTGCATTGCACCCTGGCCCCTTCGGTCATCGTCGGTCCATCCTCGATCACTTTCGATGGCCAGCCCCGCTCGAAGAGCTTCGGCAGGGGCGTCCAAGCGGATTGCGTCCTTATCGTGCATCCTTACTGTCAGTCTTGATTGCACTGCGAGCCTCCTGGCTGCTGGTGGAGTTCCTGGCGGGCCAGTCGGAGGTCTACAGTTGGTCTCGGCGGCGGGCGCAGGGAGGTGGCGGGCGCGAGGTGGGAAGGCTTCGAGAAAAGGCTCGAGGATCGAGATTCGAGGATCGAAGGTCAAGGATCGAGGATCAAAGTTCCAAGATCGAGGATCAAGGTTTGAGGGTCAGTGTTCGAGGAGGGCGGAGGTTCGAAGACCGGGGATCGAGAGTCGAAGATCTCAGAGATGCGGGGAGGGCTTCTCAGAAGCCCCCGGCCTTCTAAGACGCCGTCTGCGTTTTTTGGGCAGGCCTTCTCCTTCGCGGCCCCCACACCCACCCCTGCGCGCACCACCAATGATCGTAAGGTTTGTCATTGCTGCAGGGGGCCCTGCTCAGGGCGGGCTGATCGGAGAACTGCCGGTGCTACAGGAAGCGGGCTCTCGCAGTTACAGCGCCGCAGCCCACGCGTGCAAGAGGCAAGGTGCCACCCCCGGCCCGGACTTGGTACCAGTAAGAGTTGACGGGTCGCAAGGTCTTGCCGTTCCACTTCGAGAAGGCAACCGATGGCACAGCTCCGCTGATGGGTGCGGCACGGACTTGAAGGTGGGCAGGGAGTTCGATCCCAGCAGGTACACACGACGAGAAATCTGGCGCCGAGGGGTCCAGGGTCACACTTTCCGTCCAGCTTGAACTTTGCACGGGTGCGGCGAGATTTCCGCCGGAGGGGGCAAGCGATTTCGACGGGGCAGCCGCCGTCGGGGCGGTTTCCTATTTGACCCGCCCGCCGTACCTGCGCGCGGGGGCCACCATTCGACGTCAGCGGCGTTCGGAGCGGAGAGTGCGAGGGCTTTAGGGCCCTCCGATGCCCAAAAGACCTGGCCGAAATCGGCGCATCGCCCCCAAGCGCTGGCCGCTGTATCTTCAACGCGGTGGGGGCCGACCTGGTGCTGAGGCCGGCATCCACCTGGGTGTTGGCTTCCTCGGGGCTGCGTCACGGCACGAAAACCATCGAGGAGCAAAGAACCCCTAAACCCTAATATCACAATTGAAGACGTGGCCTCATGTAGGTCCCCGCCTTTGCACCAGGGATGAAATATATGGGCGGCTTGGTTCGATACGCCTGCAGACACCACTCCCTAGCCCTAATGGGCCCTGATGTTTTTGGCGCTCCTAACTGAGGTCCTCTCTACAAGGGTTAGGTGTTTTTTTAATGCTACTCAGAGAAAGTCGAAGAAGAGACGGCGCAGCGGCTTTGATTCGTAAGAGGATGCACAGAGCTGATTGCGTGCAGAAGTTGGCGCAATGTGGCCCAGAGGAGCGCGAAATGAAGAGCTACCCATCTTACTTTTCGTCCTCTCTCCTCGTCTCTCCCCCCTCCTCTTCCCTTTCTCCGTCATCCTACACCTCCTCCACTTCCTCACCCTAGTCTTCATCCCCTCCCTCATCTTTCTTCTCCCCACGCCCCTCCCCGTCCTGGTTATCCTTCTCCTGTGCCTCCCCCACATCCCCCTGTCCCCATCCCATCCCTCCTTCCGGGCATACTCTTTCTCCTCCCCCTCTCTTTCTTCTCCTCCCCCATCTCCTCCCAGTCGGCTTCTTACTCCTATGCATGGACTTCGCTTGCTTCTGCCAGTGTCGTCAGACAGGGTCCATTCGGTCGCCTTGTCTCTGCAATGTTCGGTTCGACGGCCCTCGTATGGTCTGGATCCTAGAGTTTTCGACTACTGCTCGCGAGTTGAAGCTCCACTATCGTTTTTTACTTGGTCTCGCTCCTCTCCTCCTCCTTCCCACCTGTGATTCCCTACCTAGGCTCTGCCTAGAAAGGTTCTTACTGTCTTGGCTTAAAGGGCCAGGCAGTGGGAACCGGCCCGGGCGGTTCCCCCTGTATCCGCCTCGCGGTTCCCCCAGTTACGTCCCCTTAGCTTAGCGTTGCTTATCTCATCTCAGATTAGCTTATTTCATCATCGTAGTCGCCCCCGTCGCCCCCGCCATGGGCACCATCGCATCACCACAGCATCCGTCGTCGTCGTCGTCGTCGTCGGTCGTCGTCGTCGGTCGTCGTCGTCGTCGTCGTCGTCGTCGTCGTCGTCGTCGTCGTCGTCGTCCCCCCGCCTAGAGCAAACAAAAAAATGGATCCGTGGGCGACGCCGCCGCTGCCGCCACTGCCGCCGCTGCCACCTGCTCCTCCTCGTCATCCTCACCGTCATCCAGCTCCTGGTCCTCCTGCCCCGGATCTGTGGGTGTATTTTGTGGCGCTCGTGTGTGCCAACCGCGTTGCCAGTTTAGTTTTCTGTTCAGGTAATTGGCATGGGTGTAGTTCCCTACCTAGGCTCTGCCTAGAGGGTTAGCTTAGCATAGCATAGCGCAGCGCTGCATTAGCATAGCATAGCATAGCATAACACAGCATAGCATAGCCAAGCAGAGCATAGCATAGCATAGCATAGCATAGCATAGCATAGCGCAACATATCATAGCATAGCATAGCATAGCATAGCGCAGCTTAGCATAGCATAACATAGCATAGCTTAGCACAGCACAGCGCATCATGCCATATCATAGTATAGCATAGCATGGCATGGCATGGCATGGCATATCATAGCTTCGCATAGCATAGCATAGCATAGCATAGCGCAGCATGGCATAGCATAGCATAGCATAGCATGGCGCAGCATAGCATGGCATAGCATAGCATAGCGTAGCATAGCAACTAATGCTGCTTTCCTAGGGGCTCCAACTTCTAGGTAGGGTCGCGCTGGGGTAATTTCTTCCGTCGCCCTGTTTTCGTTCGAGCTTACTCAGAGAATGCTTTCGGAGACGCTCGCCAGAAAATCTTCGGTCAGCCTCGGCCCACGCCCTGCGGCATGATATCCTCCCTCGCCTGGCGTGCGCGCAACCGGGCGTACCCGGATGGCTCTTCGCGTCTGCTTCAGCAGCCCCCTCGCGACAGGTGCCTTGGGCCCGGCGTAGATCCCCGTGCCCCTCCTGTGTGCCCGGCGAGCGTGCCGACTCATGTCTGGCGCATTTCGAGCCGCCAGCGTGCTTGCCAGGAAGCCCGTTCGAGGAGGAGGAGGAGGATAGCGAGGAGGAGCAGTATAAGGACGAGGAGGAGGAGGACGAGAATGGGAAGGACGGAGGAGGAGGAGCAGCAGTAGAAAGACCAGAAGGAGGAAGAAGAAAGACCAGGCGTGCCATCTCGGCCTTGCTTTAGTATCGTAGCGCTGGTCGGCGCGGGCAGTCGACTGCCCCCCTTTTCCTCCCCTTAGGCAGGCCAGGTCTTTGCTGATTCCGGCGACTGCTTTCATCAAGGCAGGCGGGAGAGGATGGGGGAAGAGGAAGGATAAAAGCATGATGGGGGGGGTAGCTGAGGAGCACCTCGCCCGCGCAGAGGGTTGATTCGTGCTCGGTCTGCTACGGGACAGTGCTGGCGCAGGCATGTTGACCCGCCCGCGCGCGCTCTGCAGCTGTGGCCTCGCCGCCCATCATATGCGGGCATGCGCAACCTCCACGTCGTCGTCGTCATCCTCATCCTCCTCTGCCTTTCCTCCTCTGTCCCTTCCGTGTTTTTTGGCAGCAGCGCATCATGCCCCTCAAATATTGCTTCAGCTGCAGCCAGGGGCAAACTGCAGCAACGCGAATTACCACCTGCAACTCACAACAATGGGATGAGCTCATCAAAACCAACTGCCACTCAAACATCAGCGTGCTGGATACGCATCAAATTCTTCTTACCCGGCACCGTTGGAGGGCGGCATTTGCCACAAGTTCTGTTAAACGTGCACGACATACGAAGGAGCAGGCGGGACTCGTCTAAGCAGTGAGATGCAGTGACAGGATGGCCAAAGGTCTCGAGCACCCCCTGGTCCAGACGGGACTCCCCAGAGCACGAGTTACCCTCCGAAGGTCTTGGATTTCGCACGGGGGCCCTTGAAACAAACCTTGCAGCGCCAACGTCAGCACATCTGGGCCCACTCGTGGCAGACATCCGAGGACAGCTCCTCAGAAACCTGCTTCCTGGGCGCACGAGCCAGGCCGCGCCCCGAGTTTGGGCCACACCAGAGGGAGTTCTGCCCCCGCCAGCAGGACCAGCCGAGCAATTCCAACATTCCGCTGCAATTCGTCGTTCTCGGAAGGGGGGGCATCCTCGGATGCTGGTCGGACCCGCCTCAGCCGCCAGATCGGCATGGGAACAGGCAGCATCCGATGGGTCTCGCAGTCCTTCCACGAGACAGTCAAGCGTGACTCCATCCTTCGTAAGGGGAGGTGGCGCCGTGCCACCTGGAATATCGAACGCGCCGTTCAGACAAACCAGACAAACTATCGGGACAGCTGGGGTCCCTGTTGCAGGCCTCCCCTTAGAGTTGAGAAGAGAGCACTGCGTGCTGTTGGTTGTTGTTATCTCTCTCTTTCTCTCTTTCTTTCTCTACCGACCGACCTACCTACCTACCTACCAGCACGCACGGGCGCTTGAACATATTGTGGAGGTTGACGCGCAATCAGGGGATAGCGGGTAGCCCAGCAAGCTTGGTCGCCAGAGCACGGATGAACCCTCTGTTCCGTCCGCTCATGTTTTGTCGAGCTGAGGAGGTTCTTAACAACGCGCTAACATGATCTACGACCCACACCCCGCACTTGTCTCCATACTTGATTCCAAACCCCATCAGAACGGAAGAACGGCCGCTGTATACGAAAACTTGACCAACACAAGAAAGGACAAGGCGAATGACATCGCACGGCTAGAGGCGTCAATTGTTGCGCGGACACCTGCATCGCCCATCCAAGATGACACAGGGACATCCTGAGAGCGGATATGGGACCGCACACACACGGTGGCCAAAGAGCGTTCGTCCGTCGAAGACCTTGGCACCATGATTCCCTGATCTCGGCTCGCGCGAAGGACTACGGACAACCATTGGTGCGAAAATTCACACTGTTTTGGCCCATTTGACGATGGGCGCACAGAAACCTCGCCAAGTCGGGCCCCGCTTAGGAGAGCCAGCAACGGAAAAGAGCGTGGCCTTTGGAACCGGGTTTTACAGTCGACGTGGTCATAAGCCTGAGGCCCAGGAGCTCACGGCCAGGCATCCCATGGAGAGATCCGAGCCGCAAGCGGCCACACCCAAGGGCCCAGCCGCAAAGATCGCGAGCGTCTTGCGCTCGATAGTTTGCCCATGGCCGCGGAGCACGCGCGTTATCCCGTGAGTTGCTGCGGCACGAGCCTTGCGTTTCACGCCCTTCCATTTGGCGGTTCGAACAGACCTGCCGAGCGTCAAGACAAAAATTTTGCATTCAGTGGGAGACCCACGTGCCATCGTAAGCTCCCGAGAAACAGAATTGGCATTGCTGGCAAAACCTTCGTTGACCGTAACTGGCGCGCGCTCGGATGGGGCCGCGATGGCGCCTCCAGGAGCGCGAGCTCCTCGGCGAACCAGACTTGGGCGACAGCCGGCGCAGCCCGCTCTAAGGCCACCCACGCGCGCGCCAAACAGGCAGACTTCCCAGGGCCCGGGGCGAACATATCCAAAGCCCCCATCGCACGCGCCCCGGCCAGTCCAGCGGCGAACGAGCACCACGCGGAAAAAAAAACCGCGCTGCACAGAGCGCGGGCATCGCGCGGCGCCGCGCCGCCATAGCAGGGGGCCCAGCGCGCGAGCGCGCCTGGATCGCCGGGCGCGCCTCGCGCGCAGGGAAGCCAGGAAGCCAGCCGAGAGCAACTGCGCCAAGCACGTTGCCAGCTATTGCGCCCATCGCACGCGAGGAGGCCCTGGCAAAAATAGCCGCAGAGACCTGACCTGCCCGAGTGCCAGCCTCTGCTCGACAGGCGCGCTTCCAAACAGCGCGCCCCGCGCCTCCGTCGCCAACCGCGCCCCTGGACGTCCTGAGGACCCCCTGCTCCCACCTGGGCGCCTTTCCTCTCCTCGCGCGGCCCCAGACACGGCGCCGCCCTGGAAAGATCCGAATGGGTCTCAACCCTCCGTTGGGCCGGCTGAGCAGGGTCGCGATCGCGCGAGAGATCTGCCCAGGGAAAGGG